ATTTCGTGGACATTGGTTATGTAGTTCAATGTCCACGTTTTGTGGACATAGAGGCGCTGAAACCAGCTCAATCTCTGGTTACAGCTAAATCGCGGGCATGGCCGCTCTCAGGATCCTCTCTGCTGATATGTATCTAGTTACATCTAGTTACCTCGATTGTTATATGCGGCGCGATATATAGATACTGCTATAGTCGAGAGAATCGATAGGTCGAGGTCGAGGATAGACAAAAGAAGGTACTTCGCGTATGGACATGGAGCGAGATAGACGTGCTGTATTAAGAGAAATATTATATAAAGAGTATTATAGAATTATACCAGTGAATGATTCCTTTACGTTTTCCTTATCTTACCCATACAACGACCATAACATGGTGGCAGCGTGAACCGCGCGGAACGAGGAGGTATATGGTGTTGGGCCGCAACATTGATAAAATTGAAGTTACGTAAGAAAAGGGGCTACGAAGGTTCAAGAAAAGAAAAAGAGGATTGCCATGTCGGACGAGTAGAAAACTATAGTACTACCGCAACTGGAACCCCCAAAGCCATTTTCATTCCGGGCGGAGGATTGGAGCCGCTGGGCACAGCGGTGGGAAAGGTATCGCCGAGCAGCGGGCCTCGCGACTCGGCCAGAAGAAGATCAAGTAAATCTATTAATCTATACCATGGGGGAAAGAGCGGATGATATTCTGTTGTCGTTTAAGTTAAGTAATGAAGACTCAAAAAACTATGCGACAGTCATCGCTAAATTTAAAGCTCATTTCGGAGAGAAAACGAATATAATTTACGAGCGCGCTCGGTTTAATCAGCGAAAACAAGATACTAACGAAACAGTCGATGAATTTATTGCTGATTTGTTCAGATTAGCGGAATCATGTAACTTTAGCGAATTATGAGGAACTATTCAGGGATTGTATCGTTGTCGGCGTACGAAATACAAAGTTATCGGAAACTATGCAGCTTCTAGCAGACTTAACGCTCGAGAAAGCCATCACGAAAGCTCGTCAGGCAGACGAAGTTAAACGACAACAGGCCGTGGTAAGAGGCGCAGATGTCTCAGCGCCAGGCGGAACAGAGGTTGGCCGCATATACCGACAGAAAACGAATCAACAAGGTAAGACATCGTTCAAAAAACTACAAGGAGGACGAACAAATGTAAACTCAATGTTAAAGAAGTACGATAGATGCGGGTGCGTTCCGCAACATGCATTTTCAGTTTGCCCGGCTAGGTTATCAGATTGCAAAAAGTGCAAGAAGAAGGGCCACTGGGAAGCGGCATGTAGAAGTAAAAAAATAAGCGAAGTCAACAAAGAAGAATTATTTAAAGATAACGCGTATTCAGCAGCGGATGCGGTTTTCGCGGATCAAGTCAGTATCAACGCGGCAGCGGTCGACATTATTCCTCCATGGAGAACGACGGTCAACGTTAACAAGATACCAATTGATTTCAAGGTCGATACATGAGCTGATGTATCTATCATCGGACAAGAGTTGCAAGAGAAATATTTCAATAAAATTCCAGTGCAAATCAAGGAACCGAATTGTTTGCGCGCTGTGGGCAACCTTAGCATTCCGGTCAGTGGAATGATCCACACTACCATGGAACGCGAAGGTCAACGTTGTAAGGAAAAAATATATGTGGTGCCCGGGGTAAGAGAACCACTTCTTAGTCGAACAGCCATCGAACGGTTAGGAATCTTTAAGTGGATAACCATTGTGACCACGTCCTCACGAGGGCGGGACAATTTCGTCTCTCGTCCGACGAACTCGATTCCGCGAAAACGGTAAAACTGAGTCTAACGCGCGATTAATCGTAACTCAGGCATCTCGCCTTTCGGAAACGGGAACAAGAATTGGGCGCCAGGCACGTTATAGAGAGTGCCTCTCTAATTAAAAGTTTCGCTGTTCGGAAATCTAAAGACTCAATAAGAAATTATTTAATCACGCGATCAGACGCGAATTCGGTACGACGGTCGGACAAGGACGGCGATAACCTCTCAGCTACGGTAATGGTAGATGGGGTGGCTCGAGGGAAAAACGGTCAAGGTTCGGGGAGCGAGAATAAGCTGAAAGAAATAGCAGTGATTATTAACAATAAAAATAACAATTATATTTAGCGAACGAGTATTACAAATGAAAATACGAATAGTACACGACAAGAGACGGAAACATTAGATACGCGAAGCAATGCTGCTTGCACAAAATCGACGAAGACTCGTAATTCGCGAACGCTACAATCGTACGACAGGATCGTATCTCGGGAAACGGAAAAATCAAGAGTTATTTTTCTTCGGTGGTACGACTCGCCAATTACATACCCCTCGCATCCGCGTGACATGCGAAATCGGAAATCATGCAGTGCGGGCGTGATATTCGCTAATACGCCGGCGCGAAACGCTCGGCGTACACGGGCAAGCGTGATCGACACACGCGAAATCGAAACTAAGTGATGAATATGTCCCGCGGGATCTCGTGATCCCGGAAATTCCCTGAAATTCCGTACCAGTGGCGTAGGGCCTTTTCGGAAACGCGAATTATCACACACGCACAATGACGGAAACAATACAATACAATAACTGACTTGGCTGTGGCGCTCGGTGGGCGTGACGGTCCTGCAAAAATCTCGATACACGAGGTCAGACGGGGCACTGAAACTCAGAGAATCCTTCTCGGCTACAGCCGAGTCACAAAACGAAAACGATAGCTAAGAACGCGTGTTCCTTGCGGCCCGTCTGACACAAGAAAATCGGCGGCTTTACACAAGTGCGCTCGTCTCACCGAAAACTCCTCGTCACGGGAACGGTAGCTCGCCTCGACTTCTGCTGAATTTCGGCGGAATATAGTTCGTAATCGCAACCTCGTTCTGCGTCCTTCCAATCCAACGACCACAGCACAAGTGCCAAGTGCCGCTGCTTCCGTGATCTCGCCGGGCCGGTTGGCCCACGTGGTACATCCGTATGCGCCCATAATTGGCGGGCGTGCAAGTTCGCGATCTCCACGAATCGCGTGGGGTGCGTAGCGCCGCGGGTCCTGCGTCCCCGCGCGCGACATTTAAAATATAGGCGACGTCCTTCTGTCGGCAGTACCTCCAGGTACGCTCCCGTTGTGGCACGCTCAGGTGGCTGGTCCTAGGGATCTCTTCCTTGTCAGGGGCCGTGCCTGGCGGCAGGTCTTATTCTTGGAGCGCCCTGTTATGTCTCCGATTGCGGGGTCTCTCGCCCGATCTGGGACGTAGAGTGGCCATCCCTTTTATCCTCGCCTTAGCTAGCTTGCACCGGAATTTGAAAGAAAGCTCGGGGGCTTAATTGTTCTCAAATTAAGGAGAGGAACGCGGACTAATGATATGACCTGTGCATGCTGTTTCCTCGGTGGTGTCTTCTCCGCCCTCGTGGTCCTCTTCTCGTGGTCGCTGCGGTGTCGGTGAGACGGGGAAAATCCTACAAGTTCTTCGGGAGCCGCCGATACGATATAATAAACAATCGAGATCGCTACGGAAACTAAGAATGATAATAAACGGTATTCGGTATTCGGGCGGCTGGAGCCACGCAAATGTGGTCCCGCGGCCCGCGCCACGCGTCCGCCTCCGAAAATCGGAAGGACGCAGGACACAAGACTACCGCCCGCGGTCCGTAGATCCCTTGTGACGGACGGTCCAAAAAGGGACGTCACGTCACACCATAAATAAACATATATAAACACGGTGACGGAGCGACCGGAAGACAGATATCCGGAGCTATTTTGTGGATTAGAATGCTTGTCCCGTCCATATACGTTACGTTTGAAGATCGGCGCAAAGCCATACGCAGTGTCAACGCCAAGAAGAGTAGCAATTCCTTTTTGAGAGGGGGTGCGGCGCGCATTAAAAACTATGAAAAATAAAGGTGTCATTAGCCTAATAGATGAGCCAACGTAATGGCGTGCGGGGATGGTTGTCGTACCAAAACCCAATGGTGACGTCCGGATATGCGTGGATTACACGCAGCTTAATAAAAGCGTCCAAAGAGAAAAGCATATGCTGCCAGCGGTTGAAAAAACATTGGCACAGCTCGCAGGAACGACAGTATTTTCAAAATTAGATGCGCGTATGGGATATTACTAAATCAAGTTAGATGAGAAGTCAAAAAAACTAACAACGTTCATAACTCTATTCGGCCGATTTTGTTTTAATAGATTACCAATGGGATTGTCATCGGCAGGTGAACATTTCCAAAAGCAGATGAGCGCCATTTTAGAAGGGGCTGAAGGAGTGTGCAACTTAATGGATGATATACTCGTTTTTGGAGCGACGAAAGCAGAGCATGATAGAAGATTGGAAATCGTGTTAAGAAGACTTCAGAAAAATGGCATCACATTAAACAAGGATAAATGCGTATTCAGGACTTCTAGCGTGAAGTTCTTAGGCCATATAATATCAGCGGACAAAGGAGTACAGCCCGATCCAGATAAAATAAGAGCGGTAAAAGAATTAGAAAGGCCGCAGTCTGTGATAGAATTATGAAGATTATTGGGCATTATCACTTAAAATTTTTGGACCATTTGGCGGATGTTACTCAACCTCTAAGAGAGATGTTGAAGAAAAATTATGAATTCAAGTGGACGGCGGTTCACGACCAAGCATTTAAGAAAATAAAAGAAATGCTGACAGAAGCACCTACTTCGAAATTTTATGATCCTGCAAGGAAAATCCGTATTTCAGCCGACTTGTCAAGCTACGGGCTGGGAGCAATGCTAGAACAAAAGCACGAAGATAGGTGGCATCTAGTCAGTTACGCGTCGCGAGAATTAACGAAAACAGAAAAAAGGTATGCTCAAATCGAGAAAGAGGCGTTAGCTCTTACATGGGCGTGTGAGAAATTTGCAGATTACATCTGGCATAGGAGCAGAAATAACCTTATTAACTGATCACAAGCCGTTAGTAGTTTTATTGGGAAACAAACTTTTGTGCGAGCTATCAGCACATTTACAACGTTTCCGTATGAGACTCATGCGATTTAAATATGAAATCAAACACGTTTCGGGACAAGAATTATTTTTAGCAGATACATTATCGTGCGCTCCTCAGAAACATGGTCTCGATGATTCGGATATATTATTAAATGAAAACATGCAATTATATGTGCAAGCGGTAGAAGTCGCGACACTAATTGGAGACGCACTTCTGCAGGAGGTCGCAGAGACACAGCAAAACGATATTACAACGAGCATACTTCGGCCGTACGTACGCGAAGGATGGCCGACCTATAAGGCAAATGTGAAAATGGAAGTGCGAAGATTCTTTGAGCATAGAGGAGACTTGTCTGAACTAAAGGACATTTTAGTGTATGGAACAAGAGCATACATTCCAGCAGGACCACTGAGGAAGAAAATGCTAGACCGACTACATACAGGGCATCTGGGCATAATCCGATGTACAGATCGGGCAAAAGAAGTTATTTGGTGGCTGGGCATTAGTGTCGACATCAAGAACCTAGTGTCCCAATGCGAAAAATGTATAGAAAACAGGCCGCAAATAGTGGAACCGCTAATGCCAACACAGATGTCGGAACGTCCATGGCAAATCATGGGAACAGACCTGTTCCAACACAAAAGCAAAAACTACGTTATCTTTGTAGATTATTTTTTCAGGTACTTCGAGATAGCAGAGTTGCGAGACACGTCAGCGGCAACAGTCAAAACGGTGGCGAAAAAGATTTTTGCAAGATATGGAGTACCAGAAATTGTCAGAGCGAACAATGGACCCCAATATCGTGAAGAGTTCAAGCAATTTGCAAAGGACTGGCACTTCAAGGTGGTAACAAGTAGTCCGTACCATTCACGCAGCAACGGACAAGTTGAAGCAGCGGTAAAGATTGCCAAATCGTTGCTGACGAAAGAAGAAGATGTGGACCGAGGATTGTTAGTATACAGAGCAACATCTTTGGAGACGGGTTTTAGTCCAGCGGAGTTGTTAATGGGACGAAGAATACGTTCTAATATCCCGGTAGCGGAGGATAAATTGCAACCTATTTGGCCTTACTTAAAGGAGCACAAAAGACAAATAGATGAAAAGCGCGTCAAGGGTAAACAAGTGTTCGATAAAAGACATCGAGCACAGAAATTAGCCGAGCTTCAGCCGGGGCAGTCAGTATGGGTCACGGATCGGAAGGAGCGCGGCAAGATAATAAACCGTCGCAAGGAACCGAGATCGTACGACGTCAAAGTGGCGGCCGGGGTCATCCGCAGGAACAGAGCGTTCCTGGTGCCAATACAGAAAGAAGAAGAAGACACTACGGATTACGAACAGTTTGTTAGGGAGCCAGTACAGCCACGTACAGCCAGTTCACCGACTAGAGTGCAATCGGCAGCACCGAGAAGAGTACCAGGAGGATCGTCTTCTGATAGTTTAGCTGTAGCATCGCGAGCACAGGCGCACGGTCAAGCGCAGGGTCCGGTTGAGGCACAGGTGCCACGTAGATCGGGTAGAGTTAGAAAGTTGCCAGATAGATATGACCCATTCAAGTATACATGCCAGATAGATATGACTCATTCAAATATACAAAAATTTTAAGCTTATGTTGATCCTATTAGTACAGAGTTGTTTTAAAGATAGTTTAAGTTTCAAGTCAGTTCAGAAATCAAGGATGTTTCTTTCAGTTAATAAGTTTATGTTAGTCATATTAAAAGAATATAGTAGACTTCTCTAAAGAAGGGAGGATGTTATATGCGGCGCGATATATAGATACCACGATAGTCGAGAGAATCGATAGGTCGAGGATAGACAAAAGAAGGTACTTCGCGTATGAACATGGAGCGAGATAGATGCGCTGTATTAAGAGAAATATTATATAAAGAATATTATAGAATTATACCAGTGAGTGAATCCTTTACGTTTTCTTTATCTTACCCATACAACGACCATAACATCGGCATTTACGATGCCTAACGTACATTAAGTAGTGACATCTGTAGATATTTCATTTACAGACATCTACAGATTTTTTGGCAAGGGATTCCAGAAAAGCTCGTTCAGGGATCTGGCAACACTGGGTTGGACATCTGTTAACAACATAACCTTGAAATATTAGCGATTTTGTATCAGCATTATATTTTTTTTTTGTACGAAAATGTCGAGTTTTGAGTTGAATAAGCGTCATTTGCGGCAACTTTTGATTTACTTCTTTAATTTGAAGAAATCTACAGCTGAAGCGCATCGACTGCTTGTAGAAGCATATGGTGAGACTGCCTTAAGTGAGAAAAGTTGCCGTGAGTGGTTTCAAAAGTTTAAGAACAAATATTCATGGAAAAAAACTCAGGTTGAGCATTTGGTGGGATCAGCTTAGTGTCGTGTATTATGAGTTGCTCAAACCGAACGAAACCATTACTGGGGCTCTCTACCGAACACGATGAGATTGAGCCGAGCACTCAAGGAAAAACGCGCCCATTACTATTCCAGACACGACAAAATTATTCTTCTGCATGATAATGCTCGTCCACAGTTGCGGCGCTGGTCAAAACCTTCTTGGAAACTCTCAATTGGGAAGTTTTACCTTACTCGCCGTATTCACCAGACATTGCTCTTTCTGATTACTACTTGTTTCAATCGATGACGCATGGCCTGTCTGAGCAGCATTTCACATCATATGAAGATATCAAAAATTGGATCGATTCGTGGATAGCCTTAAAAGATAGTAGTAATAGGGGTACTATGGCCCATCAAAACAAACCCCCACTACGCCACCCCGGCGCCGGCAAAAAATGTCCCCTCCATGCCCCTCTTTGGGGTCCCCGGTTCCAAGAGAATTTGGACCAGACGCTTTTACAGACTGTGATTGGCTATCGCATGGGGGGAGGGTGGAGTTAGACGATAAACAAGACAATTTGATTGGGCGGAGCGGTAGCTGCGATCCAAGAAGCTGATTGCCCAGAGCCATAGTTCCCGGTGGCACGAGTGATTGTAGCAACCCGGGGGAAGGAAAAGGAGTTTTCGAAAAAATGAAAAAGAGCTGTAAAGTAGGGAAGGTGGTGGAAAGCCGACAAAACGGCGTGAGGAAAAGTCAGTTGATTATCTGAAAAAATTTCGACGCATGTGCTTCTCTCGAATCATCCCTCGCCTCCTGACCGTTTCTCGATTTTTTTTTCGTATGTGCTCGGCGACGACGAGCTAATGACGCATAATATCGTTCGTAGAGAAAGTGGGGGTGCGACAGGAAGGAAAAACAGAAACGTGCAGGTTCGCGGATGACGTCAAAGAAAGAGAGATATTTATACGATGTAGAGTAAGGGACGGGAAATTTTAGGACGTGAAAAGGCGAGAAAGAAATAAACTAGGGAATAAAGATACAAAATATTTATTAATGAAATAGAGTTATTACATACAATGAGTATTTCCTTTATATTTTACTTTTTAAACTACAAGATTGAATATGGCAGCATTTGGCATTTTGGAATTTCGCGCACATATTTTTATTACGAAAGAAAATTTTCTAAAATAATTTTACGATTCGAAGATCGTTCTGTTCACAATCTTTGGTAAACTGATTAAGAAACTCCCAAAGATTATAACCGTTGCACATGAAATATGAAAATACACAGCAGTATTGTCCGCACGTTTGAGAAAGCGCTCCCTGAAGTTGCGTAGTATTCCACCGATGCGTGATGGAGTTTCGTCGAAGCAGGAGGAATCTGGAGTCCAGTGGAGGTAATCCGTAGCTATCGAAATACGTGCCGTCCTCGCTGATGTGGAAGGCGATCCAATGTTGCCCGGGACGGTCGTGATCGTCAGTGTTAGCGACGATGGCTGTCGACCTCGTCCGCACCCTCGGCACTCTGTCGGCAGGATAAACCCGCATGTCTGACAGGGAGTTGATGCAACGCATGTAAAATTTCCAGTGAATTCATTTTTAGGCGGCGATCGCCTGAGAGGAATTGAAGTTTGTACAAATTCGGTATTTACCTCACTCGCCGTTGAGCTCGTACTTGCGTTTTTGGCTGTTGCCAATTCTTGCAGGGGAATAATAGGCGAGGTGACGTTGTCGTCGTGCATTAGAAATCTTACGTTGCTGCGGCCTATATCCGGAATCGAGATATTTTTCGGTTGCTGCTTTTCTTCTTCTTTTTTTTCTCTTGCTATTGGAAAACCGCCTTTTGTCTGTTCATCTTCTTTCTGATTTCTATTTTCTTCTTTTACTGTATTATTCTGCCTCGCTTCAATGTTACAGGTTATTTTAAATTTTTGTTCACTGTTTGTTTTTTCTTCTTCCTTTTCGCTGACTTCGAGGATTGAGCTCAGATTTTCACAGCTTGAAGCGTCGCTATCGTGCAAGACTAGCTAATGCTTCAATTTGTAAGCGTAACGCGCAAAAAAATTTCGCATCAGTGAGAAATCCGTGATGAGAGCAGCGATGTCCGTTCTGCACCTCGTCGGTCAAGAGTTTGAAAGGTGGAGAAATTCTTTCCAGATTATAAACGTTTCTGGAGAGAAGATTTCGCAAATAAATGACTTTTTCATGTCCTCTGGTATATATAGGGCATTCCATCCCAAGTGAGCCACCTGTAAACTTTTGGATTTTTTATTCGGTTGAAATTTTTATATATTATAGTACCCATTAAAAAAAATTAACATGATTTTTTCAAATTTTTTTATCAACATAGTCATGAGATATGAATTTTTTTAAAATTCGCAATTCCAATTTTTAAATGCCTATAACTTTTTTTTTTATACGTGGAAAAACCCTCATGGGTCCCCCCGCTCCCCGGGGAGGGTGCGGAGGGTATGCTGGACTTGTACCGGCTAAAACTCCACGGGTGTCCGACCTTTGCGCTCTTGAACTGGGGCCGCCCAGGGAACGCTTATCGCATGACTTTCTGGGCAACCCCGCGCTTTCCTGAGGCCCTTCCCTGTAGGGGCCGGGGCCAGACTGACCCCACCCCCCCACCAAAACATTTGTCCTGTGCTCACCTAGAGCAAGGCTTGCTCCTGGGCGGGAAAGGGGACACCAACCCCCCCGCCTCGCCCCCCGCGAGGGGCAGAAGCGCTTCGCAGATCACCCACCTGCTCCGCGCCCCCCACGTCTCGCGACGAGCCGCCCCCCGTCTCCCCCCGCCCCAGAGTGGGACAAAAGAGAGGGAGAGAGTGGGGAGGACGGTCCGCCGCAGGACTCACACCCGCGCGCCAGATTGGCGCCGACACCTAAGTGGAGGGGAGATGAGCACCGGCTAGACTAAAAAGCCAAGTGCCCCCCTTTACCCACTCGGGTGTCCCAACTTTTGCCGCCCGTCCGACTACACGGGTGTCGGACTGACTTGGCGGCGTGACCTGTCCTGCCGGCGGCAAGGGAGGGACCGGGGACTAAGACCCGTAGAGCCCCCCCCGCCGCCGTCACGTCCTATGGCCGCGCGGCCGAGCGGCAGCGCCGCGGGCGGAACGACCGCCCATGGCACCACCGCCACCCGCGCGTCCACCTCCTGAGGAGGGGCGAATACCCCTCCTCTCTCTCTCCGCCTCCTCCTTCCGCCGTATCACTGCCTCGCAGAAGGAGAAGACGGCCTTCCATAAACCCTCGCTCCCGATCATCTCGCGAACGAGCGCCGGGAGCGAGAGATTCATCCCCACCACTGCGGTCAGGACTCCGCGCTCCGTGTCCCAAGCTGGACACTCTTCTAGGGTATGTTGCGCGGAGTCCCGACCGCACAGTGGTGGCACCTCGGCGTGCGCTCTTTTCCGATCCTGTGCAAGTACTCACCGAAGCACCCATGGCCGGTGAGTACCTGCGTGAGGCGGTAGGTAAGACCCCCCCATCCTCTGTCAGCCCACTCTTTGAGGATGGGCTGGACGGCCTCGAGGGTCCGAGTCCCAGCGACGCCCAGTTCGCGGAGGCGCGCGCTCCACGCCGTAAAGGCGTTGTCGCGCGCCTGCCGACGAATCAGGTCGACGGCCCTCTTCGTAGGTTGCCGGCCCTCCAGACGGACCACCCGGACCCGCCGATATACTTCGGCATTGGCCCTTGCAATAAGGTCCGCCGGTGGAGTGCCGGCCAGAGCCGTCGCCGCCGCGTGGGATACCATCCTATATCCCCGGGTCAGGCGGAGGGCCATCCTTCGCTGGACTCCGAAGAGGAGTCCGCGGATCTTCTTATTGGACTCCGCCTCGCCCGCCCAGATGGGGGCGCCATATAGTAACCCGGAGAGGACGGTGGCCGTGTACATCCTCCGTACACTGGCCTTCGGACCGTGAAGGTTGGGCAGAAGACGGGCTAAAGCGTCCGCTCTCTTGCCCACCCTGGGGGTCAACAGCTCGAAGTGTCTGTCGAACCTCCATCGGCCGTCCAGGATGAGGCCTAGATACTTGATCGTCGGCCCCACCGGGATCATCGTCCCACCAACCCTGATGAACATCCGCGGCAGCGGCCCCCGAGACCCGTCGTGAATAAACAGAGCCTCGGTTTTCTGGGGCGCCACACGCAGACCCATCGCCTCGATCGTTCGGATAACGCACGCCAAGGCATGATTCGCCCCGGCGATCGCACTTCCCCAGTCCTTCCCCCCGGCGAGCACAAGCGTGTCATCGGC